GACATTTCCCATAATTAAAAACTATTCGAAAACTCCCAGGGAAGAGGAAAGTATCATGGAAGTAAGAGATAATTTTATTATCAGACCTGCCATCAGTACTTCCTTCTATGTGGAAGATAGCCATGTCCTTTTGCTAGATTGAAAAATATATATGAGTCAAACCAGTTTCAAAATCTAGTTTCTAAATGTATCAACATCAAAACTCCAAGCCAGTGTTGTTGTGGATATTTTTCACAAGATACCTTATTTGTCAATTTGGATAAGGTTTTCATGACAGATGCACACAATTCTCTAAGCTGGTCCAACTCAAGAACACCATGAAAATTCTACCAAGGTAGAATTTGTGATTGGACTGATTAGGTTTTTGTCTAGACACAGAACACATACTGGATAGTTCTACTGTACATAGTGTTAGTAAGGGAGAAGGATGAGTATCATGAACCCCCAGATCCATGCTGACTTGTCATCTCCATTTATTAGCCCAGGCATTGAAGATTTACTTCTACCTGGAAGTATGTGAGTTGTATTTCTAGAGACATTCGATAAGTTTTTAGCTGTCATGAGAGATAAAAGAATTAACATAGTGTTAAAGACATCCAAATAGCCTAGGTGCCCATCAACAGATCAGTGGATAAGGAAAATGTGGCATATTTTTAATAATAGCGGAACAACTAAATGTATCAAAAGAAAGAGCTTAGCTAGCCCTAACAAGCCAATAGTGGAGGTGAAATGGAATGATATAATTTTCTTTGATCCAAAAGAAGGCAAGAATAAAAAGGAAAACTAATAATAGATGGGGTATACTGTAAATAAATCTCAGAATTATGCATGTAATTACAGCTATACAAATACTTGGATTAAAAGTGGGTAATATAGAGCCAGGGATTTAGCCCAGTGGTGCCGCTGCCTGCCTCAATAAGCACAAGGACCCAAGTTCAATCCCCGGTACCCCCTCCAACAAAAAGTAGGTAATAGAAAGTCTGATTCAAAATTAGTAATTGTTGGACTGGATTTTTTTTAAGTAAAGCCAAATTAAGGACAATGTAGAAGAGACCCACTTTAAGCAAACAAAAACATGTAAGTCAAAAGGATGGAAGAAGATACAGCATGAGACTAATGAAAAGAAAATTGACCTGGTTCTATTCGTATTAGAAAACGTAAGCTTTGGGGTATTAAGTAGTTCTGGTAATTTTTAAAAGATTTAATAGTCTTTTGTAATAATGAAAATCCATTAAGACACTTTATCGATACTAAATAAAGAACACATCATACATAGCATTTTTTTAACTGCAGTAGAATCAGAACACAAACATTAGAAATCGTAGGAAAATCCTCAAAAATTTCAAAAATAAGCTCAACCAAAAATCAATTTTTGATTCAAATAAACCACAAAGGAAATGTTAAAAAGCTTTGAACAGAATAAAAATCAAAACATAACACAATTTTAACACAAAGCTAAGGCAGTGTTTAGAAGAAAAATTTTAACATCAATGCATATTTTAGAAAAGAATAAAAATGTGAAATAAATGGTCTAAACGTCTATCTGAAGAAATCTGAGAAAAATACTAGAGTTTATGCCACTGATATCATAATTTTAGTTAATATTTGCTACAGTATATTATTGGTGTTTGCTTCTGTTAATCAATTTTCTTTTCAAGAGATTCAAAATGAGAAAAATACTTTGTAATTACCCCAAATTAAACCCAAAATAATCAGACGTGGGAAATAATAAACATAAGAACAGAAATCAATAAGCTAAAAATAAAAAGTAGAAAATACCAAAACAATACAAAATCTGGTTTTTTGGGTACTGGTTAGTGCTTGCTGAAGGACATAAAAAGGGAAGATATAAATTATCAATATCAGAATTGTGAAGAGACATCAATACAGAGCTAGAGATATTAAAATGATAAAGAAATATTCTGAATAACTTTATGCTAATTAATTCAAATTTGGTAATATAAGTAAATAACTTGGTATTTACAAACCCCAAAGCTTACTCAAGACAAAAAATAATGTATAAAACCTGAAAAGAAAACAAAAATTAAAGTTTAATTTATTTTAGCCATGTGTGATGTCACATGCCTAAAATCTCAGTACTTAGGAGGCTGAGGGAGGAAGATCACTATAAGTCTGAGACCACCTTGGGCTACATATTGAGTTCAGGACCAGCCTGAACTACATAGTAAGACCATGTCTCAAAAAAAGAAATTTTTATTTTTTTAACAGTTAAATTTTCCAAATAAGTTTCTAGGAACAGAAGACTTACTGATAAACAACACTTTAATAAAGAAATCATACTAATTCTATACAAACGGTTCTAGAGAAGAAAATAGGAGACGCTATTTCCTAATTGATATAAGGTCAACATTACTCTGATACCAAAACCAGACAAAGATATTGCATAACAGGATCCACAGACCTGTTTCTCTTATTAATATAAACACAAAATCCTTAACAAATTATCACAAATCAAGTCCAGTAACATATAAAAAGGATTACGTATCATGATTAGGAATTAAAGATCACTTTGACTTTCAATAAACAATTTAATTTGCCATATTAACAAACAAAAAACTACTTTCAATAAATGACCTAATTCACCATATTAACAGACAAAAAAAAAAAATTCAGCAACTGTGTAATTCGTAAGAGGAGGACAGAAACCCATCTAGCTTGCTCTGTCTTATCGTGTGATACCCTCCATTTTACCACATGCTGATACTGAGCTCTTGTTATTCAAAGCCTCTAGAACCATGAGCTAAACTTCAGTGTTTTATGTTACCCAGTCTACGGTATTTAGTTATAGCAACAGAAAACAGGCAAAGGCAAACATCCAAATTTATGGTGGCTGGAGGGTGAAGAGTCAGGAAAACCTTGACAAACAAGCTTGTCTTCTGCCTTATGAAGGACCAAAAGCAGATGAAAGGAAGCATGAAGTGCTCAGGAAATGACGAGCTGCTCAGTATGATTGAGCTTCACCGCTTGGGAAGAAAGCAATGAGGCTGAGAAAGAGGACTAAAAGTACCAAATATGAAGCCCCTCAAAGCTGTGCTCAGATACCCAACAATGCAGAAGCTCCTACAAAGACATCACTTGCACTGGGGAAATCTCACAAGTGGCAACAGAAGCCTAAATCAGCTTAGACCTCATCTCTTGGGGAAAGCCCGTCACTCCCTGAGCTGCCCGTGACAACCTCTATCCCACTAAGTAGGTGAATGACGTAAAGAAAAACATGGGCCAAGTCTAGCAGCACAGGCACCCCGTAGATCTGTTGGGCAGCAAGTCAGCCTAAGGCAGAGGGGACTGGGGTCACAGAGACTGCTTACATTGGAAAGACAGCAGACCAGTCCCTGAGGAGGTGGAGGTACTGAGCCCAGAACCAGAGAATAAAGCACAGTCCTAGTTTCTGCCCTCAAAGAAAGGGCAGTGCAAGCCAAAAGCTCAACTCTTGAGCAAGAACAACAGTGGCAGCACAGTGCTGGAGCCAGAGCTGGCACAGAAGCTGGGGCGAGTTCTGCCACGTAAGTGTTAAAAGGTATTACCAAGAGATGGCCCCAGAGTGTGGTGAGGACAAATCCCCAGCTCCCCCTCCTGAGCCACAGTGACCCGGCACCGCCTCTGTATAGAGGACGCTGCTTTGGCACCGATGGAAAATGGGCTGCAGGTCTGGGTGTGGGAATGAAAATGGAGCACACTGCAGGGAGAGGGGAGCTGAAAAGAGAGACTCACTTTTGCAAAATCGATCACATGACCTTTACGGGGACTTGTCCTTTTTTCCTTTTTGGAGCCTGAGACCTGCTGTGGAATGTACATGTTGTACAATTCCAGTGCATTATGAGAACATAAACTTTTTCTCTTATCAGTGGGATTCATCAGGACAGAATCTTTTACTTGAAGCCAACAAAATTTTCAGTGTAGGCAGGAGCAGTGTAATGAATCTCTGTTCATGAATAAAGGCATTTTTCACCTGCTGAGGCCATTAGTCATTATCCAGGGTCTCACTGTGACATGCATGGTGGAGAAGCCAGTCCAGTAAAAATAAGATAAATTGGTAATTCCAAGTTTGCAGCATGAGTGAGTTTCCCATCAAGCCTCTTTCTCTTTTTACATTTTTTGGACTAAATGAACAAGTGTTATCACAGCCATCTGTATTCCTATATGTGCACTTTAAAAAACTCAAATCCCCCTTCCAAGCACAAGCCAGTAAGGGGTATGAAGAACATGGAGGCCTGGGCACTCGATTGGCTGTGTGGGGTTCCCTTGTGGCTCCTTCCTGGTGGAAGTCTGACTGGGGAGCACAGACACAAACCAACCAGAAAAGACCCCTAATCTCAGCTACAGGAAGCGCTGGTAAAGCTGGAGAGGAGAAGCAGAGCTTAGGGCTGGTGACTCCTTGAATGCCTATCTCATAATTGGCCTACTTGCAGGTTTGCAGAGAGAGGATAAAGACCTATTAAGCTCCGAGCAATCTGCCCTGCCCCACGGAAAAGCAGCACACACACCCAGGTGTTGAGGGGACACCTGCTCCCAAGGAGAAGGAAGTAGGTAACAGACAAGGTAAGACCCTGCTAGAATAGAGGAGTAACAAAAGCAGAAGAAGATACAAGCAGACTCGGTGAGAATATTCCATCATCATCAGGATAAACTGGAGATGCGGCATGCTGTGGGATGTGAAGAGAGGAAGGAGGAAATGTGGGGTTGTCTCAGTTACTTTCCCGTTTCCGGAACAAAATACGCGACACCCACAGTTTAAAAGAGAAGAGGACTGACTAATATTTTCAGTCCATAATCTTCCAGCTCCCAGACAGAAACAGCAGGTAGAAGGTGGATGAAGAAAAGCTGCTCAAGTCATGCAGCCCAGGAAGCAGAGAGAAGGGAGGAACCAAGGCAGTCCATACACCCTTCCTGGCCACAGCCTCAGGGGCCCGCCTCCGGCCAGGCCCCACCTCCTAACGCCATAATCAGCGCTGATCTCATCCACGGAAGGGCATAGCACCCCCTGTCATCCAATCGCCTTCCAAAAGCCCCGCCTCTGAGCGCATGAGAAGTCCGCGTCATGTTCTAGCTCTAAACCATGACACAGGTGTTGCCTGCTGCCATCGCCACACCACTATGCAGTTATATGATGAACCCTCTTTAAGTTGGTAAGGAAGTTGACCCTGAGACGCCAGGTGAGTGGCACCAGGTTAGAGGGTAATAAGATTGCCCAGATCCAAACCCAGAGTTAATTCAGGACCCTTATCTGTATTCACTGCATCATTCCTTCATGACCGGGTCTGCCAGAAAAATTAACAGCTCAGTGGTTAAAAACAACAATAACCAAGACCTGTTATGTAAAGGTACGAGATCCCAATGATGAATGTAATTGCACTGTATATCTAAAATGTACCGATAAAAAATGTTTTAAAAATAAAATTTAGTTATTACAAAAAGTAAAAACTAAAATCAAGCAAATTAATACAGAAAAGGCAATAGTAGACTAACTGGCTTGAAGTCTTCTGTCTGTACCTCGGTTTACACTGAGGTGTTAAAATTATGACACATTTCTAATGCTGCCAGTTGTTGATTCCACTCAGTATTTTTCTGATGTTCTTATCATTAAATATCTTTGGCAATTAAAAAAGTTTTTAAAAACCCAACAATCCCTTATTATCCCATAGTTCTGGAGGCCGGAAGTCCCAAATCAAGGTGTTGAAAGGGTAACAGGTTAGCAAAGGGTCCCACAGAGACTCCTGCCTCGTGCTGGCTCTGCGGTCACGTCACTCCGGTCACCGCCCTCACCTGTGCATGGCCACCTTGTCTGTGCATCTGTGTCTGCTCCTCTTCCTCTGAGGACAGCAGGCACTGGACTCAGAGCCCTTTCGAAATTAGTACAACTTCACCTAAAGTAGTTACATCTGCTAAAAGCCTTTTTCCAAAAGGTCACACGCTGTAGTTCTGGGGACAACCCACCACAATGGCATTCACAGTGTGATCTCCTCAGCCAACCCACTGAGAGTGTGTAGAGGATATGACATGGCAGCAGAATGGTATTTGCTCTGTCTGGAATTGAAAGGCAGTAAGTTTAAGGCACGAGAAGTAGTGAATGTATGTGGCCGTCGAACATGAGCTGTGACAGGCAGGTGGATCAATTTTGTGGAGGTGGGAAGAGGGTGGAGAGGAAGAGGGAGACTTGGCGGGGCGTAGGCATTAACAGCTTACAGAATATGATTCTTGATTCTTTTCATGGAGTAAGTTGGAAGCAGAGCGACTTAACGTAAGAACAGGATGTTCAAATATAACACATCGCACATGAACAGGATAGGGCAAAAAACAACCCATGCACAAGGTGGTGTTCTCATACCTGGCAAACCTCACTGCCCAGCACAGGGCAGGAGCCTACTGTGCAGGGTGCTCCTCTCAGCAGACAGCAGACCACCATACTGCACCTGATGTGCTACACCTCCATGAGCCCAAGAGCAGCCCAGCAAAGATCCTGGGTCAGGCTGGCTGTCTACTAAAAGCTTTGTCTGCCCAAGACCTAATGTTCATCATATTTCACCTTTTTTTTCAGTTCTTTGTGCTCTTTGACCCAAAGACCCACCCCTCCTTCCAATTTGGGGCTCTGAAGAGTAAAACGCCTATGATCATATGCAACTCTGCACGTTCTGTTGAGAATATTTCCAGCGGAGATGGATCATCTGATTTACTTTTTTATATAGAGAGACTTTATTTTTAGGTTCATGGAAAAGCTGAAAAGAACAGATGGTTTCCATGTACCCTCTGTTCCCACACACATACAACCTTCCCCCTTATACCTTATTATACCACTGCGGTGGTTCATCTGTTAAGACTGCCCTGGCACATCATTATTGCTCAAAGTGCTTCTGGAGCGCTAGGGTCCTCTTTTGGTGTTAAATATTCCGTGGATTTTTACAAACATGTATGATATGTATGCAGCATTACAGTATCACAAAATATAGATTCGCTGCCTTAAAAAATTCTGTGCCCTGCCTTTTCTGGAATGACTCATATTTGGACTCATACATTATGTAGCCTTTTGAGACTGGCTACTTTCCCTTAGTATGATAATATGCATTTAAGTTTTCTCCATGACTTTTCATGGCTAATTATTTTGTAGTGCTGAGTAATATTCTTTCACCTTCATATGCACAATATACTTACCCATTCATCTGTTGAAGAACATGTCAACTGCTTCCAAGTTTGGGCAATTATGAGAAAGGCTGCTATAAATAACTATGTTCAAGGTATTCTATGAAGATATGCTTTCTGTTCATTTGAATAAACACCGAGAACATTACTGTACCACATTGTTATGGTTTTGATATAAAACATCCCCCAGAAGTCACATGTGCTTTCAGAAGGTGACTGGAGGATGTATGCAATCGCCACTCCTGTTCAATATAGTTCTTGAAACACTCACCTGGGCAATTAGACAAGAGAAAGAAATAAAAGGGATATGGATAGGAAAGGAAGAAGTTAAATTATCATTATTTGAACATGACGCGATTCTCTACAAAGATACAAAAAACTCCATCAAAAGGCTCCTAGGACTAATATAGTAGCATAGCAAGGTACAAAGTCATATGTATGATAATTAACTTTATAAGGACTTATAAGATAAAAAATGAGTCTGATAATAGCAAACTAAAAGGGGGGGTTGGAGGGAAAGGGAAAAAAAAGAATTGAGATGTGTTATGCACAGTACCAATTCCCTACAATGAATGAAATTATTATGTGCTGCAAACATGTACTAATAAAAATTTTAAAAAGAAGGTGATTGGATCGTGGAAGTTCTATGTAGATACATCCATTGATGAGTTCCTAGCTGAAAGTGTTGTTAGAAGGCGAGGCCCAGTTGGAGGAGTTGGGTCCCTGGGGCTGTAACTTTGGAGGGTCTTCTTCTCCTCCTCCTCCTCTTCTTCCTCCTCCTCCT